GAGAGAGAGAGAGAGAGAGAGAGAGAGAGAGAGAGAGAGAGAGAGAGAGAGAGAGAAAGTGACTCCCTGTAGTGGGGAAGGTTGTTTCAGGAAGATAATGTCATTCTTATGGTGACTTCTAAACAGATATGGATTCTCCTCCCCATACCAGTAAGAAGTTACTCAAGCAAGATTTCAGGTTTCCACAAAATTTTTTTTTCTCCAGTAACTTCTTAATTAGGTTACCACTTATCAAACTTGGCACTTACTGACATTTATTTCCCAACACTTATTTCCTAACTTTTAAGCCATAACCTCTGTGTTGTATAAGAAACTTTTAAGTCATTAATTTGTTCACTGGAGGGAAATGGGACATCTGGTGATAGACTGCAATTAGTCCCTGTTCCAAATTGTGTGTATGTGCACGCACACTCATGTAAATACATGGGTGAGTGACCTTTACTTCACTTGCATTAATGGAATTTAGGAGAAAACACAAAGTATTTCATGTATAGTCCTTGTTATCTTTATTTCCCTGTGAAACACCATGTTAGACATGAAGAACATGAGGTGAAGAAATGTTAAATTGTCAATGTTAAGTACCAAGAGCATGATTTAAATGGGACTGGACCCAGAAAGTCTCACATCAGAATACACATGCTGATTTTCTACCCTCTTCTTCCCACCATGACCAACATCTCTATGACATATGCGACATACATTAATTATCTGTTTTTCTCTTGGGCAAATAATGTGTGAAGATGGAGCAGAACGAAAAATGAATGGAATGACACATTAGAATGATTTATTGAAATACTTATTTGATAGGACTGTGTATGTACTTGGACTATGAACTTGTATTTGACTAAACATGACTAGGTTATTGGCCATTAATACAAATTTTATAGTTTAGTATAGATCTCTTGCATTTCCCATAATCCTATGTGTACCTTAATAAGATTTTACTTAATTGTGCCACTATATTAATAGTTATCTGATTTACTTTTCTTTAAAAACTCTTTATTTTCTAATTTTAGCTTTTGATCAAAGAAAGAATAATGCTAAAGAAAGGATAATGCTAAAGATTGGCTATCTAAAATGTGAATAGTCACTAAAAACACTAAAGTTTGTAACTACTGAATCTGTTCACCTGGGCTCAGTTTACTGGATTTGCTTTTCATGTAGACATTTATTCATTAGTCTGTCAAGTGCTCTCTCTCTCTCTCTTTCAGACACACACACACACACACACGCACACACTTGTTTTTGGACTTAGCCTTTTATGATTTTATGGAAGTATAAACAATAGAAAATAAACATGCTATTTTAATATCAAATCTGTCAGTAATTTAATTTCCTGAATATTTAAAAAAATCACACACAGATGCTTTAAACTAAGTAGTGGTTTATATGCACTGTCTAATGAAGGGTGTCTAACTAAATCATTGTGTCAAACCAGCTTCTTAATATAGTTTTATTCAGCCTTGTGCCTGGGTCCAACCAGATGTTTTCATTCTTAGAACTCTCTTCTGTTGCTGATTGATACCAAATAACACATATAATTAATATGCAAATAAAATTATCTATATAATTAGTACTTGGAGACAAGATTTTAAATAGTTCTTGTCTGCACAGATCACTTTACATATTTATATTTCTGAGGAAGCTAACTAATTATGTGGCTTTCCCAAAACTGTAGCTAATTTGGGCCAATTTCTAGAAATCATGTCCTAATTAGATAAAACCAATTTTTATAGGTAGTTTAACACTTTGGTACTTGATGAAGATAGCAGGGAAATATTTAGATATAAGAAAAGTGAAAAACACCCTATTTTAGAGGACCTGAATTCAGAAGTAAGAAGTATTATATTCTAGAAGATAATTAGAGGACCAAAAGGGGAGAGGAGGAATGTGAGCTAGTAGATAAAATGGAAGGATATCAGTCACCTGCTAGTTGTCTTCTGACAGTGATTTATCCATTATCTACATTGGGGCCAGTCAACTAGTTTATGTTCCACATTACCACAAGATGATAGGAAACATAGTACTTGATTTTTTAACCCTGCTGTTCAAATCAAATTATATGAAATTGATCAACTAAAATTTATTTTAGCTTGGTCTGTATCTCAGGAATCTGGTTCAGGTTTGTTTTAATGAAGTGAAGAGTATAATAATCAAGCACACACTTGAAAAGACTGATAATGAAATGAGTCAAGAGAAACAGCCACCAGGAGGTTTATGGGAGTGGGGAGAGAAGAGGTGATTTCTTTTAGATGGAACAATCAACATGTCATCTGAACATTAGCATAAGAAAGGATCTGTAATGTGCTACTCATTTCTATAATCTTGGATGTTCATTTATGAAATATCTTTCATATTTTAATGGCTAACATAAAAGCATAGAAAAACACCTATTAATATATTAACTCACAAAGGTTAAATATTGTATACATTAATTTAAAATCTATCCTAATTTATTAACTTTTATTTTTGTATCACAACCCTGTTGAAACAAAATGAAAACCAAAATCCACAGCTACAAAAGTAGCCTGCCATTTTTTAAGCACTAACCCACAAAAAAAGAATGTGTTACATCTTTGTCTTTATGTAGTTTCAATAACCTACATTTAGTAATGGTATTGTACCAATATCATAAATGCAATCAACTCATGAAGAGCTGTAAGTGCTACTCTGTAGTGTGACACTCTTGACATCAATAAGTTTATCTCAGTCAGAGGGAGGTCTTGCATCATCACTCTCAGCTGATAGCGGACAATGAAATACCAAGTCTGAATAGAAAGAACTGATGTTCAGCAGTGTTTTGAGAAGCAACAATCTCCATAAAAGGGACTCTTGGGATTTTTGAGTGATGAGGTAATTCAAAGAGAACTCCTCAAAATGTCATCACTAACTAGCTGGAAGAATAAAAACACATTTTGTTTCTATATTAAGTTGTGATTTATAATATTTATCACTGGAATCCTTTTTTTTCACTGTGCCCAGATAGTGTGTGGCCTATGGTAGGTGCTCAATAAGTTCTAATTTCCCCTTATTTCACTATGAGGCCACAGTGACTCATATTTGCATTTTTGACATTGTGAGCATTTCTCTTCTTAATTGTCTCATTTTACTTTTTTGTTTTTCTTCCTATGAGGAAGGATTTCTTTTATGAAGAGTTATTATTAAATACTTTATATGCCTACTTCTTTGACTAATAGTGGTAAGCACTATTTTGGGAGCCTCATTTTATGAATCAGGAAAAATAAAATGTAGTGTTGGCTGTCACTGGTAGATTTTAGAGGTGGCAGATGTTGGTAATTGTTATCCTTGCAGATAAGAACAAATGTAGAAGGCATAGAAGGAAGTTGACTGGTGTGTTCCTTCCATCTAATCACCTGTATACATAGCCTTAATAGACTGTTTGGAAGAAACTGTAGATTTTATCTTCTAGTTAGAGCTTTAGTTTCATGGGACCCAATTAAAAAATAGTACTTCCCTCTTAACTTGAAGGGTCTCGAAACTTTGTATATCCAACACAACTGAATATTTGCACAGGACTTACTCATAGTGCATTTTATTTTGATCTAAGGCAGCTTGGATGAACTGGGACTTCTTTTTGTTGACTCGGAAATCCATTGTCATGTTGGCAGCTACATGATGGAGGGCATCTGGATACCAGAAGTCCAGCTGTGGAGACAAGTTCAATGTTAGTGATAATTCTTTATTTGCTCACCCAACACATGGCTACCAAGAGATGACTATGTGTATACTACGATGAAAGGAATTTGGGGTTCAATGAGGTAAAACTATGGATCCCTTTCTTAAACAGATGAGATGTTTGCAAATATATTCAAGAACTGATAAATATTAGGTAGTGCTAAAGAAAGCACTTGACTAATCCTTTTTTCAAGATATAGTAAGTTATCCCCCACTTTCTGAAAGGTCACTTTGAGCTGTTTTGTTTTACAAAGCATTTAACTAGTAGCTGCTTTTTCTATGCAAAATTAAACTGAAGAGTATATTTACCTTTATGACAAAGGGTGAAAGTTAAATTGTGTTCAGTGTCTACTTTGCAGCAGTCATTCTAGAGGCTGTGCCCCCCTGAACAGTGACGCTGGACTTGCTAAGCTCCTTCCCCAAGCTGCTTTCTACAGTTTGTATCTATCATATCATTCTTGCTTTTGTGATGTTAATGTTATTTTAGGACTTATTTTCTATTTTGTATATAATTTCGTAGGTTATTTTTGGATATTGGAAAACACAAAATGTTTCCATATAAACAAGGCTGATTGTTTCTTTGCTTTATGCCATTTTGGTTAATGAAAGCTTTCATAGCAATATTATACTTTCAAGAAGTGGGGGAAACCTGTATGTGTGTGTATCTGAAAGGAATAGTGTGTATTGGATATCTGTTTGCTTCCATCATCTGGGGTTGATTAAGGTTATTTTTACAATTGATTTAGTCACAGTATTGGTTTCTAATTTGAATACAGATTAAATATATGGTTTTTCTTCTCCTGACCAGAGCTTGATATCAGAGATCACTCTGGAATAAACTCTGGAATTCCTGGAAGGTTTGTATCCAACAGAAGGTACAATCTCTAGCCCTGTCATTTTTCTAACAGCACATATTGTCAGTTCCCTCCACTAAAATGGGGTAAATAGGTCTCTATCAGACTGTAAAATGGATATGAAGTCTGGCACATGCAGGCTTTTAATAGCTGCCTATTCCTTTCTCTCTGTCTTTTTCTAGCTGAGAATTTCAGAAATTTGGTAAATAAGCCCACAAGGATAGACATCAGAGCAAAATCACTTTGAGAAGATTCCAGTTTTTGTGGATTTTCAACAATCATACCCAATTGTGAAACCAAATGAAACATAAGATCCCAACCTGGAAAATGTGAAGCAAAATGCTCCACTTCTGCCATCATACCAAACTTGCGGATGCGTCTAAGTTTTCCAGACTGCTTCGTAGTTGAACCCCACTCTATTCTATGTTAGTCCATTATGTACAATACGAGGTTGCTATAAACCAACCGATATATATTGGTTTATTATCATAAAAAACCCATGAGTTGGGCATGTGAAAGATATAATTAGTATTTTAAAGGTGAGTTATACAGGATCATCTAATTATAATAGTAGTTTTTCTGTTCCATTAGGGTAGTGTGGAGCAAAAGTTTAGGGTTCACTGAAATTTCAGGAACTTTTGTTAATTAACAGGCACAGAGAGTGCCCATGCCTGTAGAAGTTAATAAAGGACTTAAAGAGGTTTGATGTGAGAGACAGTCATACATACATTCTCAACTTTCTACCCAATGCCAGTGACAAGCATGAAATGTTACTGAGCACAAGAAATAATTTAATTGGATCATCAAAGTTGATGGACAGAGAAGACTTCCTGCAGGAGACACGGGAGGTCTTTAAGAATAAAGAGGGATTAGTCAAGTAAAGAAAAAGTATTCAGGATAAAAGTGGATGAGTTTTCTGGTGTCCATGGAGCTTGAAGGTGAGAAAGAAGGTGGAATACAGACTGCAGAGGCCGTTTACTAGATTGGCAGATCATGAAGGACTTTGAAAGCTAAAAGCAATAGAAAATGCTTCTATAGCATTTTGTATGGCTTAGCCTGTTTCAGAGCACCACTCAGATATAAGCTCACTTAGTCTTTATAACAGTCTTAGGAAATAGATGATTATTATCCCCAGTCAGTGGAGGAGGAAATTGAGACCAGAGAAGTACCTTGCTGAAGACCACAGAATTGAGATTTAAACCTCTTATGACTATGTTTTTCCATATAAGTCTGCTCCTTGCTAAAAAGATTCAAATTCATTGTGAAACTGACTTTATGAAAGGAATCCTGAGAAGAGGCTATTGAGACTGCCCAGGTAAGAGATAGGGCAGACATGAAATTGCCGGGGGAATGGGAAGGAAAGTAGGGACTTGAAGACATTTGGAAATTAGAATTGGCAGAACTTTTGATTGACTTGACGTAGAAATAAGAGTGTATGTGACTAAAACAGATTCCAGATCAGTTCTGGGTTTAAAACCTGATTTGTCATTTAGGTTACTAAACTGACTGGTTTTGAACTTCTATTTTAAAAGGATTAGCTTATGACACTGCCAATGAAAATAGGTTGGGGATTTTGAAATGATGTATGTAGCATGACAGGCATAGTACTCCTTGTGTACAGGAGCAAACATGATAAAATGATTATATTTTTAATATAAGTGATAAAATGATTAATTAGCTTTGGGTTTTAAAGTTTGATCTAATTATAAGAGTTTCCTTTCAAAATGGATCTACTCTTAGAGAGGGTCACAGCTTGATATTATCAATCGGACACTTCATTCTAAATAGTTATCTAATTAGACAAATTCACTCTGTTAGTTTCTTATGGTTCTGGGTAACAGACATTATGCCATTGATGGTGATCAGGGTGAGAGTGAGGAGAGTGGATAGGCAAGGCACTCATAGGAGGGAAAAGAGAACCTGATAAAGAATTCTAGAATGGCCCCTTGCTTAAGTTTCAGCTATTGTTTGGGAAGCTTTTGGACCTATTTCTTGGAAATGGTAATGGGGGAAACATACTCAAAGACAAATGAGGTAATTGGCCGAATTATCCCAAGTAGCACTCACCACTTCCTTTTATTTTTTCTTTGGTAGCTCTGTGGGCATTAAACATAAAATAAAAAAGAAACAGCTTTTAGAGAACAGAAAGAAATGTAAAAATAGCCCTGTAAGTGCTTTACCTCGTTGGTTTTGGCCAAGTCCTTTATGAGGTTTGCTTGTTTGTCATCCTGGGGCTTCACACGAAACACCTTCTCCCTTTAAGAGTGCAAAAGATGAAAGAGGGAATGTGAAGAAGTGTTTCTTTGTCCTCCTCCCACCCAGAGATTGGAGCACAGTGATGTGTTTTACCTGTCAAAGCGAACAGGAGCAGAGGCAATGCCAACAGCCAAAACCACAGGCAGGAGGAACCGCATGGCTCTTCTCTGCGTGTCCCACATTTCGCTGCTAGCTTTATGCCTCAGCTCTTATCTGGAGGAGCAGCTGATTTCCTCTGAGAAATGTTCCCCTGTGTCTTCTAGTTAAAGAAGGAAGCGTAGGGTGGACAGCTATAGGAATAGATGCCGATTTGGTGGCAGGCACAGTACTAAGCTACTTCATATGCCTTTTGCTATTCGAATGCCCATTTTGCAAATAAATGGTGGGAAGCAAACCTGTTTTGTAATTAATAACTTGACACTGTGGCAAAACTAGTATTTTTCCAAAGCTAGGGTTTGAATACAGTTCTGAAATACTAACTTACCATTATTTTTGAGTTGCATGATGGAAGAAATCTGTTTAAACTTTCACTTGGAACCGGAGATGAATTTTGGTCCTTGAGCCTTGGTGTGTATGTAGTCCCTAATCACCTGAATCCCGTTTTTGAAGTTATACTATGAATTGTTAAGTTCAAAGCATTTAGACAGTAAAATATTTTGAATATACTAAAAATGCCCTATTCTGGAAAGCATCACTGTGTTCACTGCTTAGTATCTTAGCCATTTTTTGCTCAGTACCTTTTTGTCAAAGGTAAACATTATAGAGTGAACTAAAGTACCCACATTCCTCTATCTCCCCTCTAACAACAGAGGCTACCTTTACATCTAAAGCAGCTTGAGGGTTCTTAAAAAATCAGGTAGCCTCTGATTTTTGTAAGTTTGCAATATACCACTTTCGTTTATGACATACCATAATTAGTACCTATTTTCTTTAGCCAAAAGGAGTTCAAGAGGATTTCCACTTTCATGACAAAAGTCCAAAATTGCAAATAACTTTTAGTGTGGGTTTGTAGCCTCTGTTCCAGAGACAGCAGAGAGGATGAATGGCACTTTCTCAGGAGACCCTCCACAGACTGCTTTTGTCATATGATTTCTGCTTGTCCTATATGTTCATGTTATTTTAGTTTTGTGCTATTTGGCAAGAAAAGGGAAGTTAGTTCAGAAGTCTAGGAACACTCTAGAGGCTTTTCACATACATTTATGGTAATTGCTTCTATGCTTTGTGCCATTTTGGCTTAGAAAAGCTTTCATAGGAACACTACTTTTGGGTGCTGAGCAATCTCAGTATAATGTGGCTGTTCAAATGTTTGTCCATTGTCAGAGTCTGGATGACATAGGTGCCCAATAAATGCTTTTTGAAAACTGACTTAATGAAATAGACCATTTAAAATATTCTCTGGGTGGGTATTTAATTTCGAATACAGCTCAGGTAATTATGGATTATTTGGAGAAGAGACATCTTTACCCAGACTTAGAGGTTACCTAAATGAGCAAGTGAACTTATCTAGTTAGATAATTAAGTTTTCTTAAAAAACAAACAAACAAAATGGCCCTCCCTGGTGGCTGCAGCAGGTTGAAGTGCAGCACAAAGAAGTTAAAGCCACTTCTGCATGAATTCAATCCTGCCTGCCTGGGAGGTGACCAACAGGGCGCAGCAGCAGACCTCAACTGTCTTGTGCGCTGCTCCGCTCAGCAGTGTACTTCATCGATCTGCCTGTTCTGCTCCCCACTCTGTCTCTGGTGAATCCTCTCACCGCCCTGCACTTCTGGCCTGTACCCCAGTTCTGTATGTATAAATAAATAAGTCTTAAAAAACAAACAAACAAAAAAAGACCCTTCCCTCTTTACAAATGAAGAGATGGCCACATATGAAATTTCTGAACCATGGTTGTATGTTCTTATCAAAATTATATTTATTGAGATGCTACTATTATGTGTATAACATCATTTATGAAATCTCCATCCACTAGATGTGCAATATTTATTCACCTGAGAGGAACTCTTGCCTAATGCTGCAGTTAAGGAAGAAGAGTTTTATAAGTATCTTCATGTTCTTGACATTGGATAAACTCATCAACACCAGAAAACCCAAAGTTAATGCTTGCCCCACAATTCTAAAGGTGCATTAATCAGGAGTAAAAATGGAAGGGGCAAGTTTGACTTTGAACTACACAGACATAATGGGTGGTTTCAAACAGTAACCCCAGGCTGTCTGGTCATTCTGGTCTTGGTTTCTCATCTGTGAAATGGATATTCAAAAACAATGCTCAAAATTGACTGAGGGCTATGTAAGACTGGGTGAATAGTAGACACTGAAAAACATATTATGTAGACAGTGGCTAATATATTCAGTTTTAATAAATAACATTACAACTGACTACTTTCAGGCTGCAGAACAGATCAGGTAACAGCAAGTATCAAGAGAAAAACCAAAAATATCCCTTGTTCAGGAAAATTGGATATGTGGAGGGAGGAATGAGAATGTTTGCATATTTGCCTTCTTATTTCTTATTCTAAAAAATTCATTGGAATTTTAGAAAAGATTATATATACTTTTATTTATTTTTAAGATTTATTTATGCATACAGAACTGGGGTACAGGCTAGAGGCTCAGGGACAGTGAGAGGCAGAGTAGGGAGCAGCATAGGCAGATTGACAAAGTACACTGCTGAGGGGAGCAGCCGGCAAGGCAGGGGTGGTCTGCGGTGCCATGTAGATCACCCCTGGTTCCAGGCTGGGGATCAAACTCACACTGAGACGGCTGCAGCTTGCTTATAGTACTGCTTTTTAACACGCTGTGCCACCAGGGGGAGGGCCCAGATTATATACACTTCTAGTTTATATTTTAAATTATTAATGTAGGAACTCAGGAGGATTCTTTATGGTTTACTCACATGACTCCTGAACTTAGGGTTACAGGGTCCCTTAGAGGTTGATGTTACTGGAGGTGGGGTAGGCGTGTCTGGGGGAACTATTACTGAGTTGAATTACAGCCTCCAATAAGATCACATCACTCAGCTAACTATGGTGGAGTTAGCCCTCAAATACACAGAACTGACATTTATTAAATAGAAAGAGAAAATTGTCCCTGCTTTATAGTGATGTATTATTAAATTGTTTTGAGAATGAGCACTTGACAAATTGTTGCAGCTGCGCTACTACCATCTAGTGGTCAATTAATGAAGTTAATCACTGTTTGGCTTGACAACTTTCAAATTATTGTAACTTCAGAGGATGCTGTTTTAGAATAAAACACCATTATAGGTATTTCAACATATTATTTTAGAAACAAAAGCCAATTTTCCATGAATCCACACAGCAACAGTGAGTTAATATTTTCTTCTGATCTTAGAGTAAATGTTGCCCCTGAATTATAAACTCTGCATTATGTTCTTTAAAATTTGAACTTTGCATACTACTCTCCAACATCAACACATTCAGTACTAATTCTGGAAATGTCAGGTCATATGTGATGTTCAAGTCACACAGTGGCTTTTGCTTCATTTAATTTAGGCAGGTCTAGCAAGCACCTTCTTGCTTTACTTTCAATTTGCTTTCAAAACCTTACCCTGACTAGTGTTTAAGAAATATCGCTGATCAGGTAATTACAATCTAATGTCTTCAGGGCTTCCCACTGGCCAGAGTTCTAGATCCTTTCCACGGGCCATAAGTTCTGCCTGATATGGCCCTGCCTCCCTGAGCAGCCCCTCCATGTGTCCCTCTTAGCTTGCTAAGGTTCTGTCTTCCTTAAAACTTCTAAACAGCCATGGGCCTTGAAGAAGTACTACTGTCCATGGTCCAGCTAATTGTAACTCATTTGTTTAGTTTCCAGCTCTTTTTGAGAGAGAATGTTCTCCCACTTCAGGTAGGCAGATTTTTGTATGTTCTTTTTATGTAGTCTGTCTGAATTGGGGCCCAACCAGGCCATCAAAGGTTAATCTATACAACTTGACTAAGTCTCAGACACTACCAATCCTCTGGCCGTTCAATAACCTTCTTCTCTGTCTGTAGATCAAAGAGTGCACAGCTGTGAGATAAGGACTAATTTATTCATTAGGAAACCAGCAAACCATTGCGTCCCCTTAGTCTTTGGTCACAAATCCCTTGAATCCACAAATCTGCAATAAACGTCAATGAGTGTGTATCCACTTGCCCCTAAACTGAAAACAGCACCCTCCCTAGCTTCCCTGTTTTTCCTCACATAAATCTTCCTGTAGAAATCCTGTAGTTCTTCAACTTGGGCTGGTAAATGTGAGGATTGACTCCCAACATCCTGGTTGGTGCAGTTCAGATAGTATATCCTTTTCCTGCGTCAGACACTTGGCAATCAGAGTTTGCTCTTCTGCTCTGCACTGAGCACATGAACCAGCTGTCACCGGAAGCATGCCTAGCACTTGTTTTCTCCATGTAAGCTAAAATGCCAATTATTAAATAGTTGGTTAAATGATAATTATTTGTTTCTCTTCTGTCTCCCCAAATGGCCTATGCAGTCATTGATGGCAGGAGTCCTCTCTTTCCTTGTCATTGTTCTATTCTCAGTGGCCTAGCACAGTGGTTGGTGTGTGGTAGGAAGCTCACAACATAACATGAATGAGTAGATATGAAAGCTCAGCCTAGATGGGCCCTTTTACCGATAGCACCCTTACAATCCTAAATTTCTCCTATTTCTTCTTCACCAGGCCTTTTCCCCACATTATAACCTGTGTATCTCTGCACTCTGCCAGTGTTGGTAACTCCCTAAAGACTTTAACTCCATCTGAATGACCCATGTCATCTGTGAGTGACTTGCCAAGTCATTCGCATCACTTTTTTTCCTGAAGGAATAGACAGTCTGTCATTTTTTCCATTTGAATGATTTACTTTTATTATAATCAATATTAAAAGACCCACATATATTTAATAGACCCAGAAGCCTAAAAGAAAGATTAGGGTCTGGAAAACCTCCAGGTAAACATAGCAAGGATTCAGGTTAGAAAAGAAACAGTGAAATAAGGATCTCGGCTTTCTCCACTAGTACAGATGTTCTGAGACGTATTGGGCGATGTGCTTGATAGCCAGCATGGTTTCCTCACAGGTGGCTTGGATCTGGGATTCGGGAAGGGCGAAACCATATCTGCCTTTGTCTCGGAGTTCAAAGGTGAAGGAGTATTTGATGCCTTGGTCATAAGCCCAATCATCAGAGCCCCCAGCAGCAGGATCTGAAGTTTGTAAAAATCAGGAAAAAAAAACCACTTAAATGTAGGAAGGAGATTTACAACAACTGCAGCTTCCTTTTATCATTATGAATGTTTTCTTTTGGGTAAAATATTATAGGTAGGGCGATTTTCCAGTAAAGTCGATCACAAAAGGTATGGAACTGTTTTAAAAAATGAGTCCAGTTGTACTTGTAAACTTACTTTGTGAGAGTAATGTGTTTCATACCCCAATGAAAATTAAACGCTGCAGCACACAAGGCGCTGGGGACTAACCCAACCCAAGCTCCCTCAGTGCGCATCTGGCCATTTGCTCTCACACGCTGGCTGTGACTGGTCAGAGGGGATGACGTCTGCTCTGGAAATGGCTGGAGGCTGAAGCAGACCTCCCACCTGCAGTCTGCTCAGCTGAGAACATACACCCTCTTATATTTCCACAGGCTAATGCATTTCCAGGTAAAGCTTCTGTGCCATCATCCCTCAGTGCAGTGCAGGCTGGCATGGTTGTTGGCTGTTCTCTTCCCCTATGTAGCCTTCAGTCACAGCACTTACCACCCCCAGACAGTAGACTTTCATTTTTCCTTCTTCTCTACTGTGGGTTCTTGGAAGATTGTTCTGGTTCCCTTCCTTCCCTTTCTCCTTCCCCTTGCTTTTTCTCCATCTTTCCTTTCTTTATCCCTTGGCACCCAGTAAGAGCCTGACACATAGAAGATGCTCAATAGATGTCTCCAGAGAGCAATTTTCCCTCCATGAGTTAAAAGGAATATTATTTTCCTTTTAACAGTAAATGGATGGCATATTTTATATAAAAAAAAAATCACCCTGAGGCAAAAGCCACATGCTTTAAGTGATCAGAAAGGAAAGGTGTCGGGAACCATTTGTTGCCATTTTAGGTTCTTAGATTCTTTGCATATCAAGAAGCCAAGACTCACAGATAGTTGTAGCTCCTGGACCGTAGGTATACTTGGTGCCATGTAGCGTGGCAAGTTCTTGCACAGTGGCTTTAGCCAGGGCATTCTGTAAGAGACCCAGCAGTAAGTGAGTGAATAAATAAAGCACACACACACAAACACGCATTTTCAGAGAATGAAGATGTGCATGAATTCTACAATTCAGGTTAGTGTTTTGTACTTGTTCAGTAGCCATCCCAGTTTCCCCTGCTACTTTAGTTACATGAACCAAGTCACTCTCTTGAAAGGCTGCCTTCCTGAGTGCCCTCCCTAGGCCCTCACGCTGAGCTTGCCTTTGTCACACACAGAGACTATCATATGTGTCAACACCGGTTTCTGGCCTCTGAGAACTCAGTGACTTCTCCACCTTTTACCTCAGTGTCTCAGACCTAGCCCAGGCCTTGCCACTCAGTGGTTGTCCAGGAACTATTTGTTGGAAGAATGGCGATGCTTAACACTTTTCCCACTTGGTTATTACATTCATTTTAAAATCATTGTTGCAGTAAAGTCTGGAAATATGTCCTATTTTAAAGGCAGAAGATATGTCCTATTTTAAAGGCATTTTCTTTGATATTTACATCCAACTTAGTTATTTTTAAATGGACTATTTAGACATGGTAAGTATAGTTTTAAAAATCTTAGTTTAGGGTAGAGAAATGAAACTATAGTGATATGAAATAGTCTCAGGCATCACATTTGTTGACAAAGCAGAATGCCATTGTATATTAAGAAGTAGGTGACACTGAAGGATCAGTTTGGCAAATCTATTTTATCTCTGGAGCTGCCAGAGATAAATTGAAAAGCAGGAGGCAAGAGGAACTTTATAGTTCTACAATGAGGTTGTCCACTGCTAACAAACAACACAAAAATCAAATACATACAAGACACCTACCCATAGATAAAACAAAAACTACCTGGAAATTTGACAGGTCATAAAGCCAAGACTGAACTGTAAGAGATTACGCAAGTTTCTGAGCAGGAGTTTAGAAGACAGCATAGGTAACACGATGATTGGTGTGGGCACAGTACTTCTCAGGAACTCCTCCAAAATGCTAGTTTTAGCTTGGAACTTCTTTAGAAAATTGGATGACATGGGCCCTCCCTGGTGGCACAACAGGTTAGGACGCATACCTGCAAGCTGGCTGCAGCTGCTTCAGTGTGAGTTCCATCCCTGGCCGTAGAGGTGATCCCCACCGTGTGGCAGACCTCTCCTGTCCCTCAGCAGTGTACTCCGTCAGTCTGCCCATTCTGCTCCCTACTCTCTCTGGTGAAGCCTCCCCTTATTCCTACACCTTTGGCTTGTACCCCAGTTCTGTATGCATAAATAAATGAATCTTTTAAAAAATTCTACTTCAAGATGCAAAATATTTCCATTTCAGAATTTTAAAACATAGCAGGAATTAACTTCTGCATATTCTATTTTTTTTTTTTTTAGAAATTGCATCACCCTCTCGTAAGACACACTGCCCTCAACAACTTGTACTCAGTTCCTCAAGGAGAATGCCCTGCCCCAAACTCCTCACTACATCACAGCCTCCACCATGTCCACTGCTCCTCTGCCTATTTGAATGGCTCACTTGGAAAGCAAGGCCTGACTCAGCTTTCTGGAAAATAAAGATTAAAAATACCCTGTCGGCCCTCCCTGGTGGCGCAGCGGGTTAAAGCACAGCGCTGAGAATCTAAAGCTGCTTCCGCATGAGTTCAATTCCCGCCTGCCCCGGAGGTGACCACATGGTGTGGCAGACCTCTCTGACCTGCCCGCTGCTCCCCTCAACAGTGTACTACGTCGATCTGCCTGTTCTGTTCCCCACTCTGTCTCTGGTGAAGCCTCTCGCCACCCCTGAGCCTCTGGCCTGTACCCCAGTTCTGTATGCACAAATAAATAAATCTTTAAAAAAAAATACCCTGTTAACTATGGGAGAATTAGCTATAATTCACGCTGACTACAAAACTAGCTCTATTTCTTACTTTGCATCATGACTATGTCTTGTACACAAACCTGGAAAACTGAAGTTGGTGACATGATCATAATAATCCTTTTCTTTTTTCCCCTTACAAAGTAGCAACTTCCCTTAGTGAGTAAAAATAAGATTCTTGTTCTGGGGCTCTAAAGTCTAGCATTGTAACTATAGTCAGTAATATATCCTATACCTAAAAGTTGCTATGAGAGTAGAGCTTTAATCTCACTGCAACAATAACAAGATGGTAAATATGTGAGGAGGAGAATGTGTTAACTAACATTATTGTAGAATAGTTCATAATATATACATGACATGTATACATCAAAACACATTGTCTACCTTAAACTTATACAATGATTCTTCAGAATTAGTTCCAAATGTGAGAAGTTATTAAGATTAGAGAAGGTTATCATTATTTATTGAGTGTGTATATATGGTAATTGACCTTCAAGTTTCTCAATATATTTGTTGCTATAACTAATATTTGAGTTATTGTTCAAAGCCAAAGGTGCTATTTGTGATCTGTTATCTCTTTTGACTCATCAACTGAACAAATTCATAATAACTACCAGTGGGACAAAACAAAAATATTCAGTGTACCCTTTTCTCAACTAATTCTCTGGGACTGTGAAGTGGTAAACAAATGCTTTATATAGGCCTCTTTTGGAAATGGTTGCTCTGTGATGATGACGCGATCATGAAGATTGACACCAGCTATCATTTTGTTCTTGTCACTGGTGCACAATCAAGGAACATTTGGTTTGCGCCTCAGCCTAAGCTCTCTTCATCCTCATTGTTCCTCATCTGCTAGTTCTCTCATCACACACCTTCTGAGTAATCCTTCATTGCGCACCTTCAGTGGCTTTCACCTTGTTGAAGTCCAATCTCCTGTCTTGGCGGAGTCTCTGTGAACCAGCCCCTTCCCCTCCCTCACACTGCGCCCCTTTCTATGTAGTCCATGTTCCCTCTGGCAAGGTTTCCCTGAATAACCTCCCTGTCTACTCTCCCCTGCCTTTCCATACTTCTACATTTTTGGAATCCTCTTTTCCTCTTTCTTCAAAAGGAGAATTACTATTATGCTCCCAGATTCAGTTTCAGTGTCACCTTTTCAAAGTTTCCCCTTACACTCTTGGGGAGCAAAGTGCCCCCTCCTTTATACACACCTCCAGAGTCCTATCATTGTACCACAATCAACTGCTTTTGTTGTTTACTCTTATTCTAACCAAGACACTAGACCCACATTTTTTTTCCTCCACCCTTTTATACAATGGCCCCATTGCTGAATGAAATAAGGATAATCTTTAAACATTAGAGGAGAGCTTCCTGCAAGAAGGAATTCTTGCCTATTCATTGTGTACCCTATGTAGATTAGCTGGTACTTTGCATGCACTTAGTAGGTTGAGTCTTATTGCTAAGTCTTATGGGCCTTATCTATCTGGATGGAGATGCAGGGCTGCCAGGGCTGAGCTGTGACACACCTGAGTAGAGATTGTGGGTACTTGTAGGGGGAGGGGGAAGGCAGAATGTAGTTATTGTTGCATTTATTTTCATTAATTAAAACAAAAACAAAAACAAAACAAAACCTCTGTGGGCCCTGTCTTTCAGTATCTCCAAAACCAAAAGGCAAAGTCAGAATTGACACTAATCAACTAAAATATCACAATTTAAATTCCAATTTTTCTTAGCTAAAACCCCCAGAATTAGTGTGGGTCTTTTCTTTTGAGGAGTTCAAATACTTTCACCAGTGCTACTCATTTATCTTGCCAACATTATCTGTTCACATTGCATTGACTTGGAATTTTCTAGCAGAATGGAATGCCATGAGGGACAGCACACTCCACAGGAATGTTCCATATGAGCTGGGTGACTGGCTCCGGGAAGACAGGGGAGAGAGAGAGAGGTAATTCCGGCAGCTGGTGAAAATTTAGTGTTAACTCACTTCCTTTCTGTGTTTCTGTAAAAAAGGGACTAATGACAAAAGACCTTCAGAAGCAAGAACATATAGCCTGTGGTGCACACCTTGAATTCCAATTAATGATACTTTCTACACTGGGGGGACTTCCTAAATCCTTGCTGTGGGTTCCAAAATAAGAACAAATATTTACATAAAACCTTAGACTTTACAAAGAACTCTTGATAAGAGCTAGATATTTTTATCCCCATTTTACAGATAAAAGAACTGAAACTCAAGAGAGGATAATAGAACTTGCCCAAGAGGAAAGAACCCTCACTGGCTGACTTGAGCTAGGTTCTTCTTGCTTTAAATACTGTGCTCTTTTTCACTTCTTGTAGCCTTCAAATATATCAAAAGACAAGCTGCCGAAGCCGGCTTTACCAATTGTAAAGAATAAAAGGAAGCTAAATATAAATCAGCCTTAGAGAAAACTTTGCTTTCAGTCAAGGCCAAACAAGACCAGCTTTTAATAATCCTCAGAGATGAGTTTCTTATCATATCTTATGCATGTTCTCTTTTCTCACCTGCTTTCTCAAAAAGAGGCCTTGGACATAGAACAAAAGACAGAGTCTAAAGTATTACATCTAGCTCAAAGCCTAAAGACAAAGAACCACACATCCCCCGTGGGCTCTGCTGAGCAGGGCGGTCTCTGCCTTCTAATCCCAGCACATCCCTCGTTCCCTGCCTTTCTCTAATCTTAGGGCTTTGCAGCCAGAGCCTGTGCCCGTTTACCCTCCTTTTTCTCAGAAATATTAGTTCTTTTTCAAATCCCAAAGGCTTGTGGAATGCCCTTCCAGGCTCTGAGCTCTTGGTTGCTGGTGTGATGACTAAGGTGAGGGTGCTCTTTTCCACTGACCTGTGTTCTTTGGGAGTATGTGCTCAGGGACCCCGAGTCTCGTGAACACTCATACTCCTCACTAGCACCTCCATGTACACAGCCAGTGTCCTGACAAGATTGTGTCCTTTTTACCCTTTTAATCAACCACTAGTCTATTATTAGGGTGCAAGAAGAGCAAAGTCCAAACTGGCTTCAGGGTATAAAAGGACTCAAAGGAAATTTTCTCCCGAACTTTGTTTCTAACTTAAGTTCAAGTTTAACCATCCCCATGGGTGAATACATGTGATAATGAAAGCATCAAAATGATCTTTAAC